CAGCGCTTGAAGGTTTGCAGCGAGACTGGAAATTCATAAGTTTTGCCCTCTAGATACACCAAAGTTTTATCATCTTGCACCGAGACATTCTTATTTTTATTCCGCTCATTCACATTGCATTCAATTTGGGGAATTCCAGGTGCTGCAGGTGTTTCAATATTCACTTGTTCCCCCTGCTCAGAGTTTTTTGGCTCGACTTCTTGCAAGTCGAGCTCTTTTGATTCGGCGGCTTCTACTGCACCAGAGTGCTCCATCTCAGTTGCCGAGCTAGCAGCGTTCAGCTGCAGAAATTTCTCACGAAGTTTACTCGGACATGGTTTGAGCTCGTATGCATATTTTCCCCGTACTTCTGGTTTTGTATAGAACTCTATATAGTATTCGAATGCGCATTCATCCTCTGACATGTCTTTGTGCTGCCCATCGCTCATCATGCATTGAACGATCTCCTCCAGATTCCGAATGTTTCGCTTAAACAATTTGAATGTAACGGGCAACGTTTTAGCTATTTCTTCGAGTTGCTCCTGTTTCTTCTTCTTGTTCTCCGAGGCATATTCCTCTGCGGCCTGTGCCATCTGCTGCTTGGCCATCTCATCCAGAGGCTCTGCATATTCCAATAGCTTCTCCAATAGCTCAGCACTTACATTGGCAAATCGGTATTCGTATAAGTCGCGAGTGCTCGGACGTACATAGAACGAACGATAATATCGTTTCAATATCTTATGGCACTGCGGATGCAGCGGACTTGTCATAGCTGCCAGCTCCTCCTCGTCCTGTGTCAAGCGCAGGAGCAATGGCCTCAGCAGCTCCTGGTGGTTGATGCAGCGCATAAAAGTGTCGAACGAAACAGGAAACTTGAAACGACCACAGCTGCCAATGCAGGAGTAATAATTGTACATATAGAATATTAATGAACGAACAAGATTTAGTTTCTTCATACCTGCCCAGATCCTCTACGACGTCCAGTTCGCAATCAGCGGTACTAATTTCTGTGCAACTGAAATTTGAGATAATTAAAAAATATAATTTGTTATATATTTATTATAAATTACCCAGTATTTGTGTTTATATCGTGCTCTGGTGTATCCTCAGCTGCCATGGCTTCGCATAGCTCATTCAATGGCCTGCAATGGAATTGTCATTAGAGATTCGCTTAAGAAAGTTAATTGAGATTTACAAACTTACGATTTCTCCACCTCCCTTTTCTGCACAGGCTCGGCCAGCTGCATTAGCTGTTTCCTCAGCTCAAGTGGAGCTGCATCAAAATTGTATTTGAATTGTTCTCGCACTCTCGGATCGGTATAAAATAAATAGTAGAAGTGTTTCAACAACTGCTCATCGGAGGGACATTCGTTAGCCAGTCCCTTTTCCATTTCATATGTGAGAGCGAGTTGTTTACCCAGTTCCTCGTAATTGATATATTTAACGAATGTCTCGAAGCTAATCTGGAACTCGTAGGTGATGTCGTCAATTGTTATCAATTTACGTTCGGCAGCAAGCAATGCATTGCCCTTATCGATTGCTGGGATGTCAGCCAACAGATCAACCTCGCCTGGCAGCGATAGCAACTTCTCACGTACTCTGCCCGGGCAGGGTTTCACCTGGTATTTGAACTGTTTACGTATTTCTGGATCCCAATAGAATCTATTGTAGTATTCCAGCGCACATTCATCTGCAGTTCTGCCGTTGTACTCCCCAGAGTACAGCATCTGTTGGACAATGTCGTCCAGATTTCGGATGTAGCGCTTGAACAACTTGAAGCTAACCGGTGGCACAATCTCCGACCATTTGTCTCCTACAAGTTTGACTGGTGGCAAGATCTCTTGCTGCTGCTCCTCCCTGGTTGGGAAGACCTCTTGCAGATGCTCCTCTCCAGATGGCACGACGTCCGGTAGATGCTCCTCTACGGCGCCAGGAGGCGACTCATGCCTGAATATACACCATTATTATTATTATTATAAATTACAATAGATATTTCAGCACTTACTCTGCGCTTGCCCCTGCAACCTCTTCATCTAATTCAGCTGGTGATGTCGACTGAGGGACTTCAGTATCCTGTTCAATTGGTTGCGATGTAGACACTCGCCGTCCTTTAGTTTTCATTTGCAGCAACGTCTTTCTATCCTCTGGACTGGGCACGGAGAGTATGCGATTTTTCATTGCAGTTGTGCAGGGCGCCAGGACATAAGGATATTTCTCGCGTATCTCGGGAGTCAGATAGAAGGCAAAGTAATACTCATAGGCGCAGTCCTCGAAGCCCTTGTAGGAGTAGTCGGGATCGTTCAGCTTCAGCCGCCACACAATGTCGTATATATTGATAATGTATTTCTCAAACTCATTGAAGCTCACAATTGAGAGGGTGTAGGGAGTCCTTGGAACGGGAGGTTTGCCCTGTGGACTTCTTCCTACCTTGGCCTTAAAGTTTGGTGATGTAGGCAAGCGCGATTTCCTGCAACAAAAAATGTTCGTTAGGTTTACATTTGGGAAAGGATTAACTAGACGGCAGTGGCCAACTAGAAGATACCCTATGTAAACAATTTATTGTTCAGAATTTAATTTTTAATTTCGGATTTTTTTTTTAATTTTCGTTAAAAATAATATGAACCTACATTGAATATTTGGGTTTTCGTGCTGCCATTTTTTCCAATTTAAAATATATAATGTTTATATAACAGAGTTCTAGGACGTAATGAGGAAAATATTATAAGCTTGCACAGTACAAGCAAATATATGAAATATATTTTTAAAATCTCAAGTACCTAGAGTTTATAGTCATTCGGACGGACGGACGGACAAACAGTCTGGCTAGAGCGACTCAGTTCGTTGTTCGGCTAAATCTGTGCATCCTATGAGACTAGTTAAGCATTCTCATTCCACATGTCAAATAAACGAGAGAAACGTACTGTGATTTCATCTGCATCGTCTTTATGGCCAGCTCGTCCAAGGGCACGCCCATTTTAAGCAGCTGCTGCCTTAGAGCTGCGGGCGCCGTCTCGAATTTGCATATTTCCATGTGGCGCCGGCTCGAATTGATGTAGAATGAATTATAGTATTTGCGCAATAGCTTACGGCACACATCCTTGTCGAGCAAGAGCTCAGCTCGCTTCGTCTTACTCTTGGTCTCCTTGCGCACAAGCATATTGAGTAATTCGGTCTTATGGATGTAACGCTCAAACGTGGCTAACGAAACGGGAAACAGGAATCGGCCGGCTCTGTGCATGGGAAATATATGTTATATGTGATATATTTACTGATCGACTCTTCCACTCACCTATTTACTGTGACCTCATAGCCATCCTCGGTTGAGGCTCGGCCAATGTCGTTTGATTCCGAGAACTCATCGGACGAACCAGCCGTGCTGCCCTGCAGCAACTTCTGCTTGACGCGCAGCGGACAGGATCTCAGTTTGTATTCATATTTCGTTCTTATCGTGGGTTCACTGTAGAAGGTATTGTAATACCAGAGCGCGCACTCATCCAAGGATTTGTTTGCAGCGCCTGGCTCATTGCACTGAATTTGAAATGCTATGTCCGGCAGGTTTTCCACTACTTTGCTAAATACACTAAATGGAACTGGCGGAGTGCTGCAAAACAACCATATATTAACAGCTTAAATAGCTTCTCATTCGTGTATTATTTACCTGTCATTTTTCTTTTTATCTGTTAACCACTTGCGCATCTGCTCGGACGCCCTGGGGTCACATTTCACCTTCTTCTTTTTGCGTGTACTAGTCATTATTATTTTTGGTTTGGGCTATTGAAAAGTGTGCATTTGATGTGTTAATGTCAAGTTTTAAAAGACGCAAATAAAAATTCGCGCTAGTTTCCTAGGAGCAAGCTGCAGTGTTGCTACGGTGTGACCAAGTTTGTTAAAAAATATACAAAAATCGACACTGTGTGCCTGTCTAGACATGTCCATTTTAATTGACATAAGACATAGATGGCGCTTTGCACAATGAAAATAACATTTATAAACGAAATGTATACGAAATCTCTAAAAACGGGTTTTTTCTTCTCAATATAATTAAAAGTCATATGCTTATATCGGATTATTTTATTTGCCTAATGCAATGTATAATAAATAATACACTGACTTATTGTGTATATAATGTAGTCCCTCCCAGCTATCAGCCCTAAAATTAATTCAGTTATAATCAAAACATAATCGTACTCTAATTATCAATCGGCCTGAGATATATTTTGAGCCGCGCTGATCAGTGTGTCGTGGATATCCTTGGCCGACTGCACGTGAACACGCACCGTGTTTAGATAAGTGGGATATGGAATGGGCCCAGCCGGATTGTCCTGCATAAAGTTGTCCATTCGCATGGCCGTCACAGCTCCGGGCAAATAATGCTGGGACGAGGTCAGCTGCTGCATGCACTGGATGGCCGTTTTGAGATGTAGTTCCATTTGATCGCAGCACGCGTAAAAGTCCTCCAGGTGCTTGTCAAAGCGGGGCACATGACCATGACCGCCAGTGTCCCGCTTGAGATTGTCCGCCAAATTGTTTTGCTGCAGCGTGAAGGCACTGGAACGAATGGTTAGGAACATTGACTCTCGCAGTGGCCCCAGCAGACTCTTCACTCTCGATATGTTGTCTAGCTTTTCGGCTTGTTGCTGCTGTTGTTGCTGTTGCTGTTGTTGTTGCTGCTGCTGTTGTTGTTGTTGTTGATGCTGCTGCTGCTGCTGCATTGGCACTGGGCCGGGCGGCCCGGTGGGCATCATTGGCTGCGGCGATGACTGCATCATGGGCGAGACTTGCATCATGGGAGGTCCAGACATTTGCATCATATTCATATTGGGATTCATTTTGTATATTTACTATAAAGAAAGTCAAAAAAGTGCACGATTTTCACAACAAATTCGACTCAGCAGGAATTTATCTCTGAACTAAATTATCGACTACTAAGACTGTAATATCGACTTGGTATTTTTCGTGTTTGGTCACACCTCTACATAATTTTAGCAGCTGTTTTCTGTTGTCGATAATAAATATATTTCCTATCGATGACAGCATTAAAATAATTTATCAAGATAGTAGACTCTATTCTAATTTAACAATTTATTCTACTAAAAATTTACGCGCAAAGCGCATTGTTAACGTCTAAGTAATATTGTGAACAAAAACTATGACTAGGTAAGTTAATGGTGTTCTGTCTTACAAAAAGCACAGCTAAAGGCGCCGAAACCCTAACCTAAAAATACATATACGAGAAAGAAATGTATCATCGTGCGGCCGAACGTTTATTCGCAGATCCAGCATCGAATTGGGCGACGTAACGCCGCACAACATAAAGCAACTGAAGAAACTCAACACGGTTGTCTTTCCGGTCTCCTACAATGACAAATTCTACGTGGACGTGCTGGAAGCCGGCGAACTGGCCAAGCTCGCCTACTACAACGACATCGTCGTGGGCGCCGTCTGCTGTCGCATCGACACCACGGACAACAAACGACGCCTCTACATCATGACACTGGGCTGCCTCTCGCCGTACCGTCGCCTGGGCATCGGCACCATCATGTTCGAGCACATACTGAACTATGCCGAAAAGGATGGCAACTTCGACAGCATCTTTCTGTGAGTGGATAGCAAGTGTGTGTGAACTCTGATCCTTTATTGTATTATCTTCAATCCCTCCTCCTTGGCAGGCACGTGCAAATCAACAACGATGGCGCCATCGAGTTCTACAAGAAGTTTGGCTTCGAGATTGTCGACACCAAAGAGCAGTACTACAAACGCATCGAGCCAGCGGATGCGCACGTCCTGCAGAAGACGCTGCGCCGCAAGAAATCCGATTCACACAATCATGCATTTAGCAATGGAGCTGTGGGCGACAAGAAGGAGCGTCGGACCTGAAGGGGGGCTACTTTTGTGACATGTGGCCCAATCCTTACTCCCAACCCTCACCATCACCAGGATTCAAGGACAAACGGAAAAACTTATTTAGTTTAAAACAAATTTCATAATTGAATAAAATCCTAGAGTTAAACAAAAGCTGCTCAGTAAAACAAGGGAAGAAGAAGAAGAGAAGAGCTAGAAGTAAAATACGCCGTAGATAGACGACACTAAGTCAACCCCAAATTGGCTTAATATGTTTTTAATTAACAAAAACATGATCTTATCAAATCAGGCCATTAACTTGGCCTAATCAATCAAATGCGCGTGTGGCAGACGAGTGGCATCCGTTCAGTTAGTCCATGCAACATGCAACAACCGGGCACACGTCGAGGCGATGGCTTCGTCTATTGCTACGACAGCCTGTACAGGCTGCTCTTCTACCTGGGCATCCTCACGTTCCGGCTGCACAACCAGAGCGAGGGCGGACCGAGGTCGACGCGGCTGCGCGTTCTCTATGCACTGGCGGCACGCGCCGCCATACTGCTGGGATTTGTGGGCGGGGTTTACGTCAAGCTGACCGATCCCCAGATGTCGCAGGCCATGTTCAGCCAGCTCTCGCCGCTGTTCAAGATCATCTTCTTCTGGGAGTGCATCTTATGCATCCTTACCTACGTGGAGCACTGCTTGTGCATGGATGCGTATTGCTCGAAACACATTGGTCTGCTGGCCAGCATGCAGCTGCTGGATACTGATATCTCAGCCGAGTTCCCGCATGTCCAGTGGCGCTATAATCGCACCCGCTCCAAGTACTGGTACGGCTCGTCTCTGGTCTTCTGCCTGTATGTGGCGATATCCTTGGCGCTGATGTTCGACACGACGCAGTGCAGCTGCGGTTACGTGTCCACCATACTCATCGCTAGCACCTACTCCATGCTGACCTCCATGCTGGGCACGATGGGCTTTATACACATCGCCCTCATGGACTACCTGCGCATACGCTTTCGCCTCATCATGAAGCTGGTGGAGCAGCAGTACGCGAAGGCAGACACCTCACCCAAGGCCAATGAGGAGCAGCTGCAGCACATGGATCATTTGTTTGAGTTCACCAAGCGCTGCTCCCGTCTGCTGGACGTGATGAACGACGTGTGCGGCTTTATCAGCGGTGCCGGCATCTTCTACGACTTCACGCACATGACCTGCTTTGTGTATATGCTCTGCCACAAGCTGCTCCACCGAGAGTCATGGGACACCCAGTACACATTCGTATCGCTGCATCTGGTGGTTCACATCTACAAACTGCTCATGACCAGCGTCTACGGCTACCTGCTGCAGCGAGAGGTAAGAGTGATTTCCTTTCAGCTGTACGAGCACATCGTGTCAATTTCCCTAATCCCCTCCAGAAACGCAACTGCCTCCAGCTGCTCAGCAACTATGCCCATCACTTTGGCAATCAGGCAACGCTTAAAAATGCAGTTGAATCCTTCCAGCTCTGGCGTATGCACAACAACGATTCGGCTCACATTGGCTACAGCTTCCCTTGCAACATATCGCTAAACTATTTGGTAAGCACTCTAGCAACATTGTATATACTCATTTACGAAAACAAAACACAGCAACATATCCCTAAGCTACTCAAAAAGAGCCCAGCTTCATTGTATCTATCGAGTTTTGAAAATGTATTTTCATCTATATAACTTTGCATGTATTTTAGGTTTTCAACGCTTTGGCCAACTATGTTATTGTTCTAGTGCAATTGCTCTTTCAGCTTCAGCTTAAGGATAAACAAGGTCAGCCGATTCGCATACCCAAGGACAGCATACGCATCTTAGCAATGCAATATAATTTTGTTTTTAATTCAACAATTCACTAGTCTTGCTATTGCAAAAGAATTAATTTAATATATACATTCGAAACATTGCCGTTAGTGCATTTAACTCATGTTCTAAATGCAGTATGACAAAGCTTTCGCATGCGCGCAAATGCACTAAATTTAAACTAAAAACCGAAAAATACCTAAAGTGAATAAGCTCTTTCAGTTTATGTGTGCATATAATTAGTATATGCATACCAAAATACTAAAAGTGTACATATGTATATGCTGCTTTAGTCTCTTTTTGCATTCACTTAATACCTACATATATGAGTTTTTTTTTGCATGCAACTAGGTATACCATATAAATATACTAAAATATGTCAGCTTTGTAATCGAGTCTATAGATAAGTTCAAATGTTGGCGCCAAATAGGGCTGGAAAATACTTAGCTAAGTGCTCAAGGACTACAAAAAAATAATGCAAGAGCGTAAAAGATGTTTTTTTTTGTTTTATTAAAATAAAAATGTATCTGATACAAATAGTAAAAACTTGTATACAATATAAAAATGGTATTCGTTCCAGCTTTTTGTTATATAATATATAATGTTATATAAAAAGTATTTTCTCCATGCGCCTGTCTATTCAAAGTGGCTGAGGCAACGGGCAAAGCTTAGAGCTGGCTGACAAGGGTATGAATCAAGTGTGGTGTAGGCATCCACTAATTCACGATGATACTGCAATATCTCCATGTTCTTAAAATTCCCGAGGAGATTCATTTGACAATTCCATATATATGGCAAATGACCCTCGTCAAAGGCTTCGCAAAGCTCGTACAGTATCTATGTGGACAGGACCAAAGCAAATCAGTCAACCAAGCAATGAATCTAGTTTTAGTCCGAGTGCTTACCTGCAAAAAGAGGTCACTAACTGACATATAGAATAGGGTCTGGTAGCCCATACGCGTGGATAGCCAAATGGCCAGGTTAACAAAGTGAGTGCAGCGCAGCTTTGGCAAATTCTTTGAGGTGCGGAAAGCCTGCAGCAGGCGCAAAACGTCACGCAACTTTTGGCCACAACGCGCCACGTGCTGCAGCTCCGCCTCCACGTTGCTAATCATGAAGGTGTAATGGTGCATAGGACCGGCAATGTTCGAGAACTTGGGTATAGCATGCCAGTTGCCAGTGGTCTGACCGGCAATTTTTACGGCCGGCACAAAGTCAATGGAAAATGTGCGAAGATGCGAAACCGCTTGGATCGTATAGGCCACGCCGCGCCAAAAGTACTTCAGTTGGTAGTCCTCGTAGATGCCGTGAACCACATTGCCGTAGTTGTACAAGGCATTCGTAAAAATCCTATCTATCCAGCTCCTTAGCTTCGACTGGGACATGATCCTGCCCTTATTGTTGGCCAGGCGATTGGCTATCATAGTATCGCTGCAAGCCTGCGAAAAGTCAAGGAACACAAAACCCGGCCGTTTGACGTCTTCCACCTGTTTGATGCGCGTGTACGCCGGAAAGCGCAGCTCCATCAAAACATCCGCTTCATCGTCGTTATAGATACGCACTTTATGGGCCAAGCTGCCTGAGAAGGGGGAGTGAGATACTAGTCTAAGCTTGTTGCTAACCAAACTCCATTTCCATACTACTCACCAAATAGGATATCATTTTTGCATATGCTATTAAAGTAGGAGTCCTGCAGGCGCAGTATTTTAAGCACATAATTCTTCACGACATTCAAGTCTTTAATGTTGCTAGGATCGTTAGGATTACGGATATCCTCGGCAATTTCTTGCAGATAACATTCAAAGTTGGACATTTCGATTTAGTTCTCTGAGGAAATGACAGAATGAAAATAGTTACTAATACTATTACTATGTTTCGGACAGCAGCTATACATATGTACATATACATAGTTGTATATACCAATAAGTAATTATATGATATAGGGAATATTCACTCTAGAAAGTAATTGTTAACGGACTGGGAAGCAAGCTTTCAAGTTACATATAATGTATGTATGTATGTATGTAAATAAGTTCTGTTTATTTGGCAACTGAATATACATATATACATATGTATGCTCGTATTGAGTAATGAATTGGCACAAATGCTTATACATATGTATATTTGATGGTATGATTTACATATATACATACACATACATATGTGTTACATGCATTCACACATAAGCATATATGCATATGTATATGCTTCCACATATGAACATATCTACATATGTACTCATACAAATTGCTGTGTTTTTATATACAGTTTATGTATTACAAATTTGAGCGCAATGATAACTGCATCGAAAAATCCGCTGTTGACCAGCAGCGCCGGGACATGTTTGGTCCGCTTTGGCATACAAACAGGCATTACATACATACATGTACATGCGTGCACATACTACTTGTATGTGCATACGTGTATGTACTACAAATACATATGTATGTACGCATTGTATATAGGTACACACGCAAAGCGCTTGGCTATGCCGCAGTTCCCGTCCCGGACATCGTTTATCGATTTGCGAAAAGCAACAGCAACACCAACAGCAGCAGCCACAACAAAAACAACAACAACAACAACAACAACAACAGCAGCAGCAGTAAAAGCTCAAAATAACGGCAGCAGCAGCAGCAGCGGCGGCGGCGGTGACTGCGCCAGCAACTTCGTCGCTCTTTGTAGGCCGCGCCGCTTTAACATGATAGCGAAACCCCAAACACAGCACCAGCAGCAGCAGCAGCGGCAGAGAATCGGCAGAAACAACAACAGCAGCAGCAGCGACTAAAGCAAAAACAACAGCGCACACACACACACACAGACAAATACACGCGCGCGCTCACACAATACATATAGTCATGCACACACACACACATACTTCCACACGCCCATGCACAGTGCCATGCCCCCGGCTTCACACCGCCGCCGCACGCAAACGCCCCACGCCCCACACTCCACGCCTCTCGCACAGCTGCCCCCTGCTTTTGCCTGCCCGGCCGCTCAGCCATTCGCCGCTAGTAAAAGGGAGAACAGTAGAGTGTGAGTGAGTGAGAGAGATATATAGAGAGAGTGAGAGAGGGGGCAGATGAGCGGGCGGAAAGGGAATAGGGGGACGCGGCTGCCGGGCTTTTGATGGCAACGATGATGACGATGGGAACTGGTGACTAGGCATGGGGCGGCCACAAGGACGCGGCAGGCGGCCCTCACTCAGTCGGGTGGGGGCGCTGGAATCAAGAGGCGTGGCAGGACGGGGGCGAGCTGGCGGTGTGCGGCAGGCACTCGCAATAGGAGCTGGTAAAAGGAAGGTGCTTGCTAGCTGCCGCTGCTGTTGCCGTCGCTGTCGCCGCTGCCGTCGTCGTCGTCGTCGTCGTCGTCGTCATCGTCGTTGGCTGAAGCACGGGACATAGAGAAAAGCGAAAAAATATAATAAAAGCAACAAAAACGCGCACAAGCTGAAGAGATACAAACATACACACACACACAGAGCTGCATGGATGTATGTATGTATGCATGTGCTTGTATACATATGTATGTATATGCAGGCGGGTCGACGTCTACGTGTTAGTTTGGGCCACGCTAGTCCGCCACACAAACACAATCGCACACTCACATACACAGACACACACATACATACATATACGCACATACTATAGAAGGAGCTGTGCGGGCGGGACGCAGTGCTTGGGAAGGGAACTGGTCGTAGGTTCGCTACAGTCGTCGCAAGCCAACAGCAGCAGCAGCAGCAGCAGCGACAGCAGCTGAGTGGGCCAAGTGTGTGGCGCTGGCTGAGACGACGACGACGGCAACAAAACAACTTGAAAAAGGAAAAGAGCCGCAGCAAGAGCTGTTGGGGATGTGGCGGACCGAGGGGGCGGTGGCTCGGGCACAAAATTCTACAACGTTGCTGCCTTGAATCGATGGAAACAATTTGGGATGCTGCTCACCAGTGGCAGCGGCAAATGGCAACGGCAACAGCAACAGCAGCAAACGACAACGGCAACGGCAACGTCAGCGACGGACGGCCGTTCGCTCGTCTTTTTCGTTCACTCGGGCCGCAGTCAAAGCAGCTTATGAAGAGACGAGAAAAGGGAGATGGCAAAATTAAATGCGAGTCAACGCAGCGACGGCGGACCCAGCAGCAGCGACAACAACAACACTCAAAAACAAAGCTGAAGAAAAGCAGAAGAAGCAGAAGGCAAAACGGCAGCAAAAGTTATTTAACAACAACAACAACAAGAGTTGCCGTGTTGCAAAAATACAAATCACAAGCAGAGCCAGATGCAGAGGCAGCGGTAATATGTAGAGAGTGCGAAACGAAAACAGAGCGCAACGGAAAGCAAGAGAGCGCCAGAGAGCGGCGAGAGGGCGGTGGCCACAGCAGCAAGCAACTGATAAGAGCGGCGACAGCGCTTGAACTTTACAACAAAAGCATTTAGACATCGGAAGCAGAGCAACAATGAGTGCATCACGATGAGCAACGATCACTGCGAACAGCGGGTGTCAAAATCGATTGCGAGCCAAATATATAAACAATTACATATACATATATACGTATGTGTGTGTGCATACATAAGTATGCTAAGTAATGACCTTGAACTTCAGTTTCTGCAATCTCAATGCCAACAGCCGTTGCCGTTGAATGAAGGTGCAACAGTTTTACAGCATTCATGTGTATGCAATGTCTGTGTAAATAAGCTGTATTAAGCCAGTCGCTGAATGCTACACGAATGTGAGCACATAAACATACATACATATGGTTTGGCTTGGTTTGAGTTTGAAAAGATCTGAGCTTTGACAGAGAGCTTTTAGAGTTCACCTTAAACTGCATAATCGATTGAGAACATCCGTTAGAAAAGCTTTTCGCATGCGAAGAGAAGGAGGGAGCGAGCACGCAATACCGCGTGCAGCAACAAAATTGTCGATAGATAAACATCTTTTGATTTTCACTTTCTTTGCAGGTAAACTTAATGCGGGTAATTCTTAAAACAAATGGCAAAGCGGTAAACAGGATACGGCTGAAATTTAGTTTAACTAATGCTAGATCTTCTGGTCAATGTTCGGCGAAATAATATTATACAAGTCCCCTAAACAGGACCCCGCACTGTAATAACGTATCGCGGGGAGTGGAAGAGTGGGGTGTGCTTTCAGTGCGAAACTCGTCAGTTCTGGCATGTTAGTTGTACGCTCACACATGCATACATATACATGCATAGCACACACATTCATACAAACATATATATATATATATACAGAAAGGCATCATCAAACAACAAAAACAAACTGAAACGGCAGCAGCAACAACAATAACAAACTCATGCTTTTGCCTTGTGGGTCGCGGCGACAGCAACGGACGAACGTAGTCATGAAATTGAGTTTGCTTTGTTGTTGTTGTTGCTGCTGCTGCTGCTGCCGTTCGGTTCCGCACAGCAGCGGGCGTCGAATGTGGGCGGCTAACAGAAACGTTGGAGCGGCGCTGTGGCGGCGGCAATGGCGTCGCAACCGTTGCGCGCCTTTTGCGAGCGCCAAACTGCGCTGTCGCTATGTGTCCCGGCTCAGTGTGTGTGCGTAAATGTGTGTCTATGTTTGTGTGTTTTTATTTGTGTCGGTGTGTATTTGTATGTGTGTATGTGTTCATGTCATGGGGCTGGCTGCCTGCCGCCGTTGCTGCTGCTGCCGTTGAACACCAACGACGACTCCAACGAAAACAACAACAACAGCTACGGCGACGACGACGACGTCGACTACAATGATGATAATGATGATGATGATGTTGTGCTGCTTCTTGTTCTTCTTTACACGTCCTCCAACGACGGTTCGCCTCACTGTCGCTTCGTTCGTACGCTGGCGCGTTGCTCTTACTGTTGTTGTTGTTGCTGTTGTTATTGTTGTTGCTGTTGCTGCTGCTGCCCTGCTTGCCTGCCTGCCTGGCTGCTGTCGCGTCGCTGGCGCCGCTGCTTGCTGCGGTCTCTGCTTTTGCTGCTGCTGCGGCTGCCGCCGCTGCCGATGCCGATGCCGCTGTTAGGTTGTGTGCATGCAGCTCATGTGCGCTCTCCTCATTCAAGTGTCCAACTTTTGTCGAGGCGGTCATACAAAACGGCAGTCGCTCGTTCGTTCGTTCGCTGGCCTCTCACTGTTTGCCGCTGTTCACTGTTCGCAGTTCGCTCGTTGCCTGTACACTTCGCCTTGCCTCTGTTCTTTGCCGTTCGTTCGGAGGGGGAAGGCGCTGCTGTGGTCGTGGTCTTGCCGTCAACGGTCAATAGCGCGCCCACACGCCTATAAAAAGATTTCTGTTCGTGTCGCTTGTACATGTGTGTGTGTGAGTGAGTGCGTGTGTGCGTACGTACGAACGTAAGCGTATTGGTGAAAACTGTCAAAGCGTCGCTGCAAAAAGGTTTTTTGAAAAACCGTTAACGCTAAACCATGAAGGAAATGAAAGTGGCTCGAGCGATTAGCGAGTCCTCCACAACCTCCGATAATACATCCGATTTCATTGATATTGTCAAGAAGTACGATGTCGTCTACAATAATCACAATCCTGATTATAAGAACGTCGAGGTGAAGATGAAGGTCTGGACACAAATAGCGGACGAGATTGGATTATCAGTGGGTAAGGAGCCAACAACAAAAAATAGCGGTACAAAAATTGAAGACAAGAGCAACAACAAAACACACGGCAAATACACACACACACACCCATACACACTTAGAAATCTACGAGAGAAAAAAAGGAAGTTGTGTGGCGGCGGTAACAGAGAACCGCTGCGGCCGCCTGTTCGCTTAAATTCAATTACTACGTGCAAGTCACACAGTCACATACATACATGCATACACATACACACTTGTATATACTGCGAAACTCGCACACTCAACCAGCGGCCCGCGTCGCACGGCGAAGCGGACAAATGCTCTGCTGTCGCGGCGTCGCTGCGACGACGAACCGCCGGCCGTTTTATTTTATGTATGTGTTTCTGTATATATGTATTCTGTATGTATGTGTGTGCATGTGTAGAGTGTGAGCGCGCCTACAGATGATTGTATGCGGGGGCGAGTGCGGTGCGGCTGGCATGGCGCTGTGCAGAACGCGGCCGCGGTTGGCGAATTGCAGTGAGAGACAAAAACAAAAACAAGAAAAGCAGCCCTTGCACACCAACAAACATATACCCTACAGCCCAATTCTTTTACATTTTCTGTACAATATGCAAAAGTCGCTATTATAAGAGAACCTAAAATATATTATAACACACAAATACATATGCATAGGCATCTAAATCTAGTTGTTGTTACAAAACTGACATTAAACGATTTAATAATGCATCATTGTCACAAACCAGATGGCAAAATTAGCATAGCTCTGGTAAGAGCATAATGAAAACACGAACGCGCAGAAAACGCAAACAAAAACATAAGAGCGAAACTGATACAAGCTGCGCGCTCAGTGGTGCTGTTATTGGTATTGTTGCCAGTGCGATGCTGAGAGAGAACTTAACGTCACCCAGTTTGACGCATGCATGGAACTGAGACTAGGATAATGATAATAGAGGCACTGTCAAAATTAGTCACAAAAAAAAAGAAGCCAAAAAGAAATAACTGCTTTGCTAATTTCTTTGTCTACGACTGTAATAATGTACATATACAGTCAGAATTCGGCGTACGTGAAGTAATTCAATTTTCTGCAACAACATTAACTGTGACACCCTGTTGCTTCTGCGCATCTCCTCTCTCTCTCTCTCCCTCTCTCTTACTGTCTTTCATGCTCTCACGGACGTTTTGCCTTCTCCCATTTCGGTTTCTCGAATGTCAGCATAAAAACAAATGTGGACGCAAAATTCTGTTGGCAGTTTGTTTTTGTTGCAGGCAGACCAATTGGTCGCTGTTGCATTTCACTTTCATTAGGAGTTTTATCATAAGTTCTTATTGTGAGTGAAATTTTAATTAATGGAAAAGTAAGTTTTCAATTATTTGCCATAATTGCAAATGCACCAAGGTATTCAAACTGAAAATATTTACTATTAGAATATGTACATATATACATGTATGTACATGCATATTATTATACATACATATATATATATACATACATACATACATATGTACATACATGTGTATATGCTTGTATGTACGCATTGAGCGCCAGTGAAAATTAGGAAGCTTAATCAGAAGCTGCTACCACTAACGATATTCCAGTAACGTTTACATTGTATGCACACACCTATATGTATACGTACCTACACTTTTATGCATGTGTTATTTATTTATTTGCGATCCCACTTACTCTACACTTTCAATTGACAATTGTGCATCACCCGAAATATAAAGCCGGCACACGTCCACTTCGATCGACAGAACTCGAGCGACTAAAGTATAAAGAGGAACAATGCCTTTTCTGTGAAACAGAAGCTTAGGAATAAAACAGGGACAGAAACAGAGAATAGCTGATGTGGTCAAAACTGTAAATGCAAGCACATAGAGCTACGCAAATAATACTGTGCCTTTTCACTCAAAAATGAGACACCATATGTACGTATGTATGTATATGTATATGCGTATATATGTTTGTATATAGAGTATTTTGATATTGCAGGCAAGAGAAGCTGGACATGCAATATGAACTGATTACCAATGAGTTCTTACAACAAATTTATGGCATACATACATATAATATAAAAATGAGAAACTTAAGTCACGCTTTAATCATCGCAACAAACGCTCATCTCTGAGAACGCAGTTGTTGAGATTGGCTAGAAATATGATTTAAGTATTGAAGTGGAAATGGATATATGAATGAATGTATGTACACATACATACATATGCATGTATAGGCCTGTTATACTGCGTTGTATACGACATACATACATATGTAAATTTTTGTGTGCTTAAGTGTATGAGTATATTATAAGGCGTATTCTTAAGCATATATGTATGTATGTATGAGTGGATCATGTCATCAAATTTCACAGAATATTTGTAAACAGAATATTTTGTTTATGTACATCTGTATGTATGTAAATACAGTCTATTGTGCGCATACATACATACATATGTCATTTTAATTTGTATGTGTTCTTTTATGGTCTTTAAATGACAGCTTAAAAACCAGAATATGATGAAAGATGATGAATCAATACACATAAAAACATGTATGTATGTAGGTATTTAACTAGATGGCCTATAACACATCAAATCCATAAATTTTTCAGTCTGACTGCACAATAAAAGTATGCAATTAAAAACTTTTGAGAAATAAATACATACATATGTACATACTTATGTATGTATGCATTATACAGTTGTTTTTTGTTATTTTTTAATCGGTGTGCCCGACTAGGTCCTCTGAATCCCGAATGATCTGGCTTTTTAAATATGTATATACATACATACATACATATGTATAGTATATGATGAAATTCTTCAGAACATAGCATTAGCCACAGCTGTGCTCAATGAAAACGCCGAAAACAACGGTAAATGCGAATTTAGCAATAGGAAGGAATAAAGAATAGCATGTGTGCAAACACTTTCGTGTCATTTGAATTTGGCTACATATGTTAGCAGTTGTTTTTTTTATGCCTATATTAATAGTTTTTTAATTTTAATTAATTTTATTTGTAAGACAACAATTAAACAAACATACTACAATTAAAACAAATATTAAAATCTCTCACTTATTATTATTATTATTATTTATTTTTTTATGTTAAGGAAGAAAAATATGAATAATTTCTTTTTCCATGTGAAAACACTTTTGTCAAACTGTATTTTTTCTTCGCTTGTATTTTACCAACTTTAAAACTAATTGAAAATCTTTGTTCACATTTTACAGAAGCTTCGAAGCGAAAATGGAAAAACCTTCGCGACAGTTATACGAAATATCTGCGTTCCTTTCGAGTTGGTACAAAAACATCAAAGAAATATCAGTATTGGGCGCACGCGGATCACATGGAGTTCCTCAAACCGTTCCAGGGACCGGGCAGGTGAGTCTTCCCCACAAGAATTCCCATGGGCCAGTCGAATTGAACGTTCGCATCCTCCACAGAAACTCGGCGAATGGCAATGGCAAGTCGAACGATGAGGATGACAATGAATGCGACTTTGGCTACCAGGTGCTGGCCAAGGCGGCCAGCAATGGAGGAGAGGATGACCTAAAGATCACCATTGCCACGGCGACGGCATCCACCTCGGCGCTCAGCACGCAGACCGTGAACAGTTATACGACGCCGATACTGACGCCCAGCGTGGCCGCCACGCCCCCCAGCCTCGTCTCGCCCGGAGCGCTCAGCAACTCCGGCGCGGCGCCGCAGAACCACAATAGCAATAGCAACGGTAGCAGCAACTGTGCTGCGGTGGCGCCTCTGACGCTCAGCTCGATGACGCCGCCGGCCGCCAACTGCAGCAACAGCAGCTCCAACAGCGGCATCCTCCCTCTGCCCGCCCTGCCCCTGAGTGCGGCGGGCAAGAGCTCAGTCAGTGCCAATGCCGCTGCGCTGGCCACCCTAGCCAGCCTGCCCATGGGCATCGGCGGACTGCCCGCTGCGGCTGCGGCCCAGATGTTCACGCTGAAGGCCGCAGCGGCTGCCGCCGGACTGCCGCTCACGTCGACGGCCAACTGCAGCACGGCCAACAATGTGGGCTGCCTGATCATCGAGCCGCATCTGTTCGCTGCCGCGGACAACTTCAAGAAGGAGCTGAGCGCAGCGGCGGCAGCTGGTGCGCCGCTGGGTCTCTTCCAGAATCTGGCCAATCGGCACAATCTGAACGGAAATGCGACGACTGCAGCTCTGGGGCTGGGCAATCCGACGCCACCGCCGCCCCCACCGGCGGCGCCACCCAGCTCTAAGGTGAGGCGAGTGCAGCCATCGCCACAGACAGCTGCCATTAACCTCAGCTGCACAAGCTCCAATACAAGCGCAACCTCAGCCAACTGCTCCCAGCCCTCGCCCGCCAAGACGCGCAAGATCAGCGATCCGCGCTTCCCCAGCGACTGGGACGTGTCCGCTGTGCTGCAGGCCAATCGGGAACTGGACGCCAATACGCTGTTCTTCTTGAGTCTGGCGCGGCAGGTGCGTGCCATGCCCATGAAGTTCCAATCGCTGGCCAAGATGCGCTGCATGCGCATCGTCAGCGACATCGAGCTGGAGCTGGAGAACTTCGACTGCAATGGCGTGGTGCCGCCCGAGGAGTCGGGCAGCACGGCAAATCTCAAGTACTGCACCGACACACCGCCGCCCCAGCAGCCAGATGGCTCCACGCTGAACGTACCCGCTGGCGGCGGGATGGTGCCCGAGGGCTCCACGGAGCACTTTGTATATGTGATGTCGCCGTCGCGCGTTGAGAGCATGATAGACATCTCATCGGATGAGGAGAGCAACATGAACGGAGGACTACCGCCTGCAGCTGCTGGTGCTGGCCTCTCCGCTGCTGTGGCCACCGGAGCTGTCCACTGAGAGCGCTGTCCTCCACTTCCACCTCCATCTCCAGCTATCTTATAACCACTTACAAATCGTATTGTTAAACTTAAGTAAACTTAAATTAAATACATTAAAGTACAGTTTGTCGTCTTAGTTGTTGTTGTTGTTGTTTGGACTCGGAACAATTTATTTACACGATTCTCGTACTAAATGAAGCTTAACGATATGAAAATGGTGAAAATCTCAATGGAATCTGGTACATGAATCGCGGATAATGTCGTTAATTTGTTACTACTTGGTATGGTGAATGAATTTCATTCAGGAAGTTGATGCACACGCTCCACTTTACGACTGCACCTTGCTCTTGGTGGTGAAGGCGAAGTAGGCAACGCCGCCAACCAGCACAGCGGCGAGCAGCTCAGCCTTGATCCAGGGTCCCTTGTAGGCGCTCTTTGTGGGCACGGTGATGTCCAGCAGAGATTTGACGGAGGAGACCTTGTCACCATCGCGCTGTGCCTTGCGCACATTGGCATAGCCGTCCTCGTCGAAGAGACGCACCAGCACATTGCCGCTGCTGCCCTGCTTGATGTCCTCCACCCAGCTCACCTGCAATACGCATCAGACAGATTAGGTGAGACTTTTTCAACAATAATTTAGAGGGGGCAGCACTCACCTGGTATTTGCTATCGCCCACCTTGGCGACGGGCACAACCTTGCCGCAGGGGAACTCTGCGAACAGGCTGGGCTGCGCCGAGTTGCTGCACTGCAAGGTGAACTCGGCAACATGAGCCAACTGCGTCAGAATTGTTGCGTCCTGTGTGCTGAAGGCGGTCAACGTGGCCTTGCAGCTGGCCTGGGCGCCCGTGGCGCAGGCGAGCGCAATCAAGCAGAGCACGAGTGTTTGGCGTTGCATTATCACCGTGATTTTTTTAGTGTTTAATTAATTAGTGTATCAAAAGTCCGACGTACGACTCAAACCCAATGCGGCGGCAGCTACTTTCTATGTCTATCAACGCCACGACAGCAAACGTCACTTGACAGCCGACGGCTACGAGACGTCAGCAGCGAACGTCACTTTACAACATTGTCAGGGCTGACAAATGCGGTGGCAGCAGAAAGCTCAGTGCTACGATTGATGCATCGTGTAGCAGGCAGCTTATTGTTGTGCGATACTTTAAAATTATTTGTCGTTAAAATTTGATGTTAAGAAACTAATAAGCTAAATATAAATTAAATAAGGATAAATAAGTAACGGTAAACTATAATATTAAAGGCTTTAAACATGAAATGTAAATCAAGCGCATTAGGAAATTTTTCGCTTATAAAATTATTATTAAAGAAGGCATGACCATATACGACGATTTGAGTAGATCTCTGTCAGATCTGTGTAAGAAGTTACCCTGGGAACTAATTCTACTTGTAGCTCCGTCCTCTTATAATCGAAAACCTTTTCCATTTACACAAAATGGATTAAAAGTGTTATCGAGCTGCAAATATCTCAGAGCACAGCTAGTACACCTATAAGGTTTTAATCTCCAATTGAATTTCTCATAAAGCTTATACAATTTATTTAACTATTTAATTTTTTATTTATATGAAATTCTTTACGTAGCTAAGCTACGGTAGCTCCGTCCTTAGCTAGCGCTGAACACATATTAGCTAAAAGATATAATAGGAAATCAATTGTAACTGTAAAATTGTAAATAAATCTTTAAAATAGTATACAACAAAGTCTTAACATAATAAAAAAAAAATAAATAAATAAAATGTATGGAAAATGGATAGAATGTTTCTTTTTATTTATTTATTTATTTTATTTTATTTTTTTTTAAATTTTAATGTATATTAGCAATGGTATGAAACTTCATGTATATTTTAAATAGTGAATAGGTATTAAATAACAATAAAATATTTTTGGAAAAATATTATAAGTGAGTCAAAGGTTTCGCAACACAACAAATACAATTTGCGCTATTTTATATCAATGTTCGCATCTTTGAGTCCTCTATTCATTTTCATCTATTTGGGATAAATATTAAAGAGCCAATAAATATTTATATATGTTTTACAATTAACTCAAAAGTTGCCATGTAATAGTTTTTAATATTTCTGTAGGGTATTTCGTAGTCGTTCATTTAGATGCCAGCAGTTAGCGGTGCCTATTGGTACCGCCTAATAGGACTATATGTACTTAAATATATATTTTTGACACCGCTCGACAAATATGAATTTTTATTTGCAGCCATTTGACTCGGTTCATTTCTAATATAATTGATTCGAGATTGTCGAAATGAGGAAATGAGATTTCGACCGGTGGTATTACCTACCCACCGGAGGGGGGTGTTGGGTGCTAGGCACTAGGGGTAATACGAAGCCCAATAAATATTGACTTTGATATGATTAATGCGACTCGTTTTGGCATTCAAATTTGATATTTGTTTTAAGTGCGATTCGCAATGATATTTTGACTGAGTTTTATATGTATGTAGGTGTGTGTATATGCACATATATGTATGTGTATACTAGGCATACTCCAGGTATAACAATTAAATGTTGGGCAGGTAGCTGTATGAATGGCATGTGACCCTGAAATGGGCTTGATTTGGTTCCTGATGCCATTTGCTGTTGTTACTTGAGTTGCTGTTTTTGTTGTTGTTGCTAGTAGGTTTCCCCAACGGCAGTCACATTTTTACGGTTTTTCTTTTTTTGTTGGGGTCGTGGAGCAGTTATGTTCGTTACTTTTTGATTGCCAACGCGCACGAAAAACTTTTGATACAACTTTGCATGTCTTTGATGAATTTGAAATTGTCACAAATGTGAAAGTTTTTCACTTGCCATCAGATACTCACACACACACACACACTCTTTCACTCACTCACTCTATCTCTGTCTCTGTCTGGCAGGATCATCGCATTTGCATCTAACATTCGTTGACATTGAGCGCGCTGGCACGGCCTGAGCTTCACGCATTCATTCATTCATTCATTCATTTGGCTCCGGCCGATTTGCATATGGATTTTGTATTTACTTAATAAAATATTGCAATAGCTCGCTCTCACTCTCTCACACTTTCTCTCTCTCTCGCTCTTTATTTGATTACAGCCAAACAAAATGAAAGGCGTGGGTGGCGCTGGCGTCGAAATGAAAACAAAAGTTCGTGCGAGTTCATCGAGTTGCCAGTCAGCCAATCAGTGGAGACAGGCGAGGTGCGTTTGAGGAGTTGTCAATTCGGAGTTAGAGCTGGATGTGCGAAATATGTAAAGTTGAGTTGAGCTTATAATTATTTAAGAATAAATACTAAAGCTTAGCATAGAATCAATTGACAGTTAGTCAACCAGTGGAGACGGGCGAGGTGCGCTTGAAGAGTTGTCTGCTCAAATGTGAGTTGTACTGCTGAAACTGAGAAATATGCGAAATAGGATTAGGTGAAATATTATTGGATAATGTGGAAAGAGAATATTATAGAATACCATAGCATAGCGAGGTGTGTTTGAAGAGTTGTCAGGTTGAAGTTGTAGCTGATAGCGAGATATATGGAAAATTGAGTTGATTTAAATTTTACTTAGGAATGTAAGAGAAGAGCACAACATAGCATAGCGAGGTGTGTTTGAAGAGCTCTCTGGTCAAAGTTATAGCTGAAACTGAGAAATGTGAAAAGATTAGTTTTCGTAAATTTTTTTTATAAGGAATATATTACAGAATAGCATAGAATGGAAAATGGAAAATTGAGTTAATCTAAAATCGAATAAGATATTCAAAGAAGATCATAAGGAATGCCAAAGAATAAGTTATAATTAAGTAAAATATCTTAGCTCTAGACAAAATTATAAATGAATATAAATATTTAAGCTCATTAATCCACTAAGTTAAAACGTAGAGCTGAATACGTTATACTGTAAATTCTTAGAAAAATAGCTCCAACAACTAGACCAAAAAAATAAAATAAAATAAAATAAAAATAAGAATTAACCAAAAGAAGCGATAGGTCAAGAAATTCGTAGAAAATCAAAAACACTTAAAAATATTCCTTTGATTTGTAATTTATTTTAGACCTACATGCATAAAATATATTATGACATTCAAATAGCTGCAATTTGTATATTAGGATTTAGGATATTCCTAGCCTAGGATGAGCCACTCACTAATGTGAGTATTGTGTGGTTCGTGGATGAAATGGCCAACCCCATTCAATATTTCAGCAGCTAAATGTTATCGATAGCTGAAACAGTTGCTAATATTTGTTTATCGAAAAACCTAGAAAACCTTCCTTTGAGGACAGCTCATAGACTGGATCAATATATACATGACAGTCTCTTTGTCATTAGTAAACTGTCTGAGCAGCCCTCGTGTGGCATGCTGCCTGCACGTGTGCGAGCCGGCGGAAATGGGGCAAACAGTTGAGTTCAGTTCAGGCGGAGTCAAGCCGAGCGAGCGACAGCCGAGCGTAGCTCGAGCATAACAACATTTGCTGCAGCGGCGATGGCGCCGCTCTGCGCTCACGGCAGAGGTGGAGTGGGTGGTGCAGGCACTGCCCGATGGTGGGTGGGCTGGGTGGTTGGTTGGGTGGTGTGGGGTGGGCATTGGCAACGCTCCCGCTGCTATGTTGTTTGCTGGTTTGTTTGCTTGTTTGTTTGTTGGCAACATAACAAAGCGGCTTCATTCACAAATCGCAGTTAGCGCGCGGCAGGCAAACAACGTGGACGTGGAGGCAGCCACAGCCACAGTCTGTCTCGCTCTCTCCCACACTCTGCATAACAATTGCAAATTAGCTCCAAGTGAAAGTTTACGTCAAACTCAGCTCAAGTGGCAGCCGCGCTGAGGCTCATCCGTTCCGTGACTGCAGCCGGTTTTTGGGCGCCTTTGTTGACAAAGTTATTGGCTCCGGGTCTCTGGTCTCCGGTCTTAATGGCGGCGTAATTGATTTGCATTCGATGCGAATTGATTCTCGGCTCGCGACCGTTCGAACGCCAATTGGCAATTTCAGTCGCTAATCAAACACCCAACACCGAAGTCGAGGTCGAGTCCCAATCCGAGCATTGAAGCCGCGCCATGTCCTTGTCTGTGGCTAGCCGTCGTCGCTATCAGACGACTACGTCTACGGCTGGGACAACGTCTACGGCTGCGCTGCCCGTGCGCAAGCAGCACTCGCTCATCGAGACGCCCAGCCACGCCCACGCCCTCGCCCACGGCCATAGCCACGCAAACGTGGGCAGGTATTCGGCCCAGCAACGCGGCTATCTGTCGCGCGGCCTCTCCGTCGGCCGCTCCATAGAGAGCATCCGCCAGAAGCTGTACGCCCCCAGCCGCCAGGCATCCCTGGCCATTGACGACTCGACGGCGGTGCGCATTGCCGGCCGGCTGACGCCCACGCAGGCAGAGCTGGGCACTCATCTGCGCGACAAGAGCGACCTGATGGTCTGGGCATCCACGTCCTCCATGCAGAAGACCCAACAGAAGCAGGCACTGCCACAGCAGCAGCAGCAGCAGCAGGAAGAGACAGAAACGTAAGTGAAAGGAGGGGGAAATGATGGGATATATACACAAGTGCCATTTAGTATAGATCTAGGATTTGGTGAATAAATTTTATGAAGTGACACATAGTGAAACGTCTTGGAAAATATTCCAGATACATTACAGAAATTCAAATTGAAGCTCTAAATATATATATACAGGTATCCTATACTTAGATATATACCTGCATCAATCTAACTGATATCTCATTTATTTATTCCTTATCTGTATATGGCAATCCACCAGAGAGCGTAACGATTATAATTTGTATAGCAAAAAATTAAAAAAATTTAATATTATTATTTAATAAATTAAATTAAAAATAAATTATATTTAAGTATTAAAATTGATTTTTATCACAAAAATCAATTTTAATAACTAAATATAATTTTTTAATACAAAATTACAAATAAAAGTTTATCCATTTTTTGAATTCGCCATAATAGAAATCCTTATGTGTGATTTCCTCTCTCTTCTTGGGAGTTCTTTTGACCCTCAATTTTTTTAAATGCGTAACTCTTATTTGCGGTCCCTGCAATACACAGTAGAATTCGGGCTTATCGACTCTGCTTATAGTGTCCGTACGGTTATGAAATACACAATTAACTCTCTTGAAGATAGGCACTTTACGTAATCTTTAATGTAGTAATAGTAATAATAATAATCTATACAATATTAATATTACAATTTATTGTAAAAAATAGAAGTGTGTTATATATTCTGTTTAACATAAATACTTAAAATTCTATCAAATATCTTATATAATACTAAAATCTATCAGTGGGTAAGCGTAAATCTGCCAGTATTATTTTCTGACTGGATTTTATAACAGACTGTATGACAGACAGTGGTACTGCATATATCCGAGTAGTATATAAAATGATGTTTTAACAGAGTAAATCGGTTTTCTAATTTGAAGTCTTTAGCTTTAAATCAGAGGGACGTACATACATATACATATACAGACATAGCACAAAACGAAATTAAAAAAATTTGTTTGATTATTAAACATACTTAGAGCACATTAAAAATAGCCATTTAGGGTATATTGGTTTTCTAAAACTGTGTGTAACAGGCAGCAGGAGGCATGACAGATCCGAGCGAGCGAGGAGATGTTTGTGTGTGTGTGTGTGTGTGTGTATGTATTGCTTGTTATAAATATATAAAAGAGGCATAGCATAATTGATATAGGGTATCTCCTCGTAGAGCACTCCCTACCAGGGCACTCTAAGTTGTTCTTTTTAGTTAAAGTCTAGTTTTGTTTACTTAAACACACACACTCACACTCCAACTCAAATACATATCTGTGCATATACACTTACGCACTTACACATACACACACATATATACACAAGTTAGTAAGGAAAAGTGTTTATATGTGGTTTGACCTTGGCATGTTCGCAACTTTTCATGCGTACATCCGATTAGCATATATGCATATCAATTTATATGCGTATAAAACGAGCTTCCCTTCTGTCTCTACCTCTTTCTCACTCTCCCTCTCTGTATCTTTCTGTCTCACCCCTCTCCCAGTAAATCTGCCCAAATGACATTTTCAATAGTTTGGCGCAATTTACATGCTTGACACCGGCGTCAACGTTTCTATATGCAGTGCATACCACCCACATATGTATGTACACCCAGCCAGCTCTACCGGTCTACCTAGCGGGTAGAGCGGGTCTTCGAGTGCGGGAGCGCTCAGAGAGCTCATGTCACTCAAGCGCCACGCTGCGACACAGTTAAGTCGATCATCGGGCGATTGAGCGGGCGTGCGACTAGATAAGAGCTGGAACTGTGGCTAGAACTGTAGCTGTAGCTGGAACTAGAACTGGTTCATTGAACTACCGCCCAGTTTGGTGCTCCCGCCGCTGAAGGACTTGAGCTGGCAGTAAACACATTTATTTTTGGGCGCCAATTGCAAATGTAATTGACATGGTTTCATTTTGCCAAAATAGACAAACACGGGAGCTGGTGTGGCCACCCTCGCAATTGCACGAATTAATTTCTATTTTGGGCCATGCCCCCATGCGCCATCCGCCATCCGCCATGTTGCATGTGTGCGAAATTGAGCTCAGCATAAATTGCAAACTAATGCAAAATAATTTGATTTAAATTTAGCTGCAGTCGAGGGCACAGTAGGTCACTCGGTCAGTCAATCACTCAGTCACTCACTCCGTCAGTCAGTCAATCAATCAAGCTGTAACACTTTTGCATCCACAGCGCCAAGGCGGACAAGAATCGCATCAATCTGAATATTGTGCTGGCCCAGACCATACGCGCCACCAACGAGCAGGAGGCGATTCACAGCGACATCGACAGCGCCACGGAGTGCAGCGAGTTGCCCAAGCAGCAAGCGACAGCCGTAACAGGAGCAGGAGCAGCAGCAGGAGCAGCAGCAGGAGCAACTGCAGCAACAGGAGCAACCACAACCGAGCAAAGCGTCTCCTCTGCTCTGACCGTGCAACGGCGTCCGCCTCTGGTGCGCGCCATGTCCGCTCCGGTGCGCCTGGACGAGAACAGCAAGTCCGTCCTGGCCGCGTCCAGCAAGCGCAGCCAGCAGCAGAAGCTGCGCCGCCGCAAGGTCTTCTCGCGTGCCACCTCCTCGGTGGCTGTGGCCGTGCCACCGGACAGCAGCAGCTCCCTGCTCAGCTCCAATGCCGGCGGCTCCACTAAGAAGTCGCTGAGTCGTGCGCGCAGCGTCATTGCGCCGGATGTCATCACGCTCGTCTCGCTGCTCAGCTCCGAGGGCAGCGACTCCGAACGGGAGGAGAACTCCTCGGCGGTCACGCCCACCGGCGGTGAGAAACTGTCGACGTCAACATCGCAGCGCAGTCCACAGCGCAGGGCGCCGCTGCTGCGCAAAACGGGCAAATCGGGTAAGTCCAATAAGAGTGCACAGTACACGGGAATTCCAATTGGAACGGGACTGAGAAGTGTCAAAATCAAATTTTAATTATGTGAGATGCTGAGAATATTTATAAATATATGTTAGTTTATAGTGAGGGTTCGTTGAAATTCCAATATATGAGTATATATGAGAGCTTTACATATTCCAATTTGAGCTATGCCAAATGCTGGAAATAATTGACTTTGAATGTCAGTTATTAGATAGGGCTTACAGAGTATATAGAGAGTCTTGAAATGGATAATCTGGGGCTTACAAATTCCAATTTGAACTATGCTGAAAATATATATCTAAAACCTCTTGAAATGGATCATCTAGAGCTTAAAGAATTTTGAAATTCCAATTCTAATATGCAAGAGATTTTCAAATTCCAATTTGAGTTAAGTAAGATGCAGAGAAAATTCTCTGACTATGAATGTTAGTTTCTAGTTAGGGCTTAGAGAATAAATGGATAAAATAGAATTTACAGTAAACGGAAATTCAAATTAGAATATTTGAGACATTCAGAGATTGAGAGTGAGATGCAGAGAATTGTTGACTATGAATATTAGTTTCTAAGTAGTTGGGATGTACATATAGATATATTTAAAACTTAAGCAACAAACAATTTTAAGTGTTAATTCGAATATCTAATAATTATAATTAAATAAATGTTAGGTTCTGGTAAGGACTCATAGAAAATATGTAAAACCTTTTGATTTGAATGATCAAAATAATCTGTAAGACAAAACTGATTGGATTCTTTGAGTTAGCTGGGCTATAGATAATCAATAGAATAATTGTCAAACTACGTAATTATTATAATAGTTTAATTAATAGTTTAATAATCTGCTTAGCTGTCTAGCTATATACACATATGTATAATATATACCTACATATATGATATTCGGCTTTGCTAACATGCTGAAAGTTCATTCTGTTTCAACACAACTATTTTCTTTGATTATCAATTATTGGGTAAATTATATAATGTTACTGTTTATCAACATATGTATTTAATATTATTATTTACATTTCATTTATTTGCCCATTGTCCACTGTACTAACTCTTGTTGCAGTCTCGTTTCAAGATAGCTATCCGCCCACCTTTCAACTGGCCTCCAAGGAGTACTCGCACATGATCAGGCGCGGATCGATAGCGCCGCTGGCAGCGCGGATTCGCGCCAATCGGCCGCCGACGGCGCCGCCCGTCTCCATATTCCTGAGCGAGGCGGGCAACAAGCCGGGCGCTCCGATGGAGTCCAGGCAGCAGGAGCTGCTGGCCGACTCAGCTGGTTCGTCCGCGGAGGAGGCCAAGAAGGAGAACAATGCGGCCAACTGCAATGTGCAGCAGCAGCAGCAGCAGCAGGAGCAGGAGGAGCAGCAGCAGCAGGACTACAATTTCCCTCTGTACGTGTGCAGCATCAAGGAGCGCGAGTGCTGGAAGCTGCACCAGAAGATGTGCGCCAAGGGCGTCAGCGTTAGCTACGACACGGTGCTGCGCGGCATGCTGACGCCCACGGAGTTCCGGCACTTCCAGAAGCAGCGCGAGCACGAGGAGGCCAAGGCGCAGGAGGCGGCCGATGCCGAGGCCGAGGCAGCCGCCGCAGCCGAGAAGGACCACAAGAAGACGTCGACCACGGCCATCGAACGGCTCTCCGAGTCCCTGCTGCAGCGGGACTGAAGCGCACCAGACAGAGGACCAAGTTATATGCATTTGCCTCTCTCGAACAGAGAAATCCTAGTCAATGGCCCCAAGGCAGGGCCCAGAGAGATCTTCAATCCAGTAGCAGTAGCGCGCACTCGTTAAATCGCAATGCACCCAGCTGCGGCAGCCTTTTGTAGTTTCTATCCGAACTATCTGTATCTGTATCTGTAGCTGTATCTGTATCTGTAGCTGACAGCAATAAAGTGTAGCAATCAAGAGAATCCCCCCTCCCGAGTCGAGTCTATGGAGCAAATTGATTTATTCAATAAAAATACGTATGCATAGAAAGCAAAAGTTAAGACTACGACGGCCGCGCGAATACCCTGTAAAGCAGAGTATCGAAGGGGCGGCTCAGGATGTTCGGTAGTTGAGCTTGGCTTATGACTAGGAAAATAGCTGAAATATCGAAAAGTTTAGGAATTTCGAATGATTTGTTGCGTTTTCATATTGAGTACGAGGCTCGCTCAGTGAGTTGTAGGGAAGTTGGATTATTCAAATATTTTGATATATTATGATATATATATATTTTGATATAATATATTTTTATTTTTGTTTTTGCAATTTCTTTAGATGGGCTTGTAGTTGAAAATTAGATGCATTTAGCAAGAGAAAGTTTTGAGCTAACAAAAGTTTGAGCTTCATTAAATTTTTCTCAAATAAAGTATTCTGTCTGAAAAGATTTAAATACTTGAAGAGAATATAATTTTGACTATGGATAGTTTAATAAAATGTAAATGTCGCAAGAGTTGGAAAAAAGTTGAAGAAAAAATAACAAATTGGATTTATGGAGTTTTAATTAACATGCTGAGCGACCCTCGCTTTACTCATTGAGTACTTTAGAAAATTTCGCATGCTTTGAAGAGTTTAGAATTTAAATAGCTTAGCAGAAAGTTTTAGCTAGTGCACAGAATATAGCTTTTATACATAGTAATATATATATAGATATATATTTAAGCGGACAGACATGAGATCCATAATATATAATAAAATAACATAGAGTTTAACTAGATCCTGGCTGATCCTTAGTTCGATTGGCGCGTGTGCCGTATGACCGAGGCCAGATAGCAGGCGAGCACAATGCCCAGAATTTGTATGAAGGCGATGCCGATGCCAACTCCAATCAGGATAACGGCGTTCTTATCGATGCGCTCCTTCAGCTTGCCGACGCAGCCCTCCTGGTAGTACTTGTCCTTGCCCAGGGCCGGAGACTCGGTGCAGTGCCCGACGGCGGCGTCAATGAACTGCGGCTGGCAGCAGCTGGCCGGCAGCGTCTTGTTCAGGCTGAGGGCACGCCAGTCGGCCGGGGTGTCCACGCCGCAGCACATCAGCTTGCGCTGCACATTGTCCCAGGCGATGGTGTCCTCGCTGTTGGAGCGCTTGATGGACTCCTGCAGCGAGTTCTTCAGCATGCCCTCCAGATCCTTCTTGAAAACGCTCGCCGCAATGCCCACGGCCAGCTCAACGATGAAGATGATGGCCAGCAGCACGGCATACTGTGGAGTGGGATTGGTGGTAAGTTCATTAAGTGAGGGAGTGAGAGCGATTGGGAGAGGTGTATCTACCGTTAGAAGCAGCGTGGGCGACTCCTTGATGGCACCAAAGCAGCCCAGCGAGGCAATCAGAAATATGACCAGCCCCGTGACGATCAGCACAATGGGCGGCGCCATCACGCGTCCCTCCACAAAGTGATTGAACTCGCGGACATCGGCCAGAACGATGGCGCCGGCCACCAAAATGCCCAAGCCAGAAAGCTGCAAGTGGCATGAAAAAAAGGAATGAAACGTTAGACAACAATTTTTAGTATGCACTATGAAAATATATCTATAAAGAAATGTTTCTTATAAAAATACAAAATAAATAAAACAAAAATAAATGAATAAATTATGAAAATATATCTATAAAAATGTTTCTTATAAAAATACAAAATAAAAAAAAAAAAAAAAAAAAATTAAACTTATTCCGCACCCGGATTCGAACCAGGGGGGTCTGATGCTTTACTTATGCTGTTTTGCTATGTTGCATGTCGACTATTACTAAACAAATGCTTTTTCCAATACGAATAAAAAAGCTTTCAAACGCAGCCAAGATTCGAACCCAGGTCCTGTGCTGATACTCGGCAGAGATCATCTCTTCGCAGTCAGCCAACGTCCTATATCTTTTTCCTGCAGCTATAGTGCCATTTCATATGAAAGTAAACTACTAGCTGCTTATTCATTTCAATTCATAGTTTCGAACGAAGGAGAAGGAGTATGCTAAAAGGAGAGCGAGTAGAGGTATTGTGATGTCTGGGAGAGCAATCATACAAGAAGCACAGCAACTGCTCTTCACAGTGTTAATTGGTTATGACTTAACATAATGCTAATATGTTATGTTCATGTTATTTCATAAAATAACCAAATGCAAATTTTCGTGACTGTAGCTCTAAAGACGTAAAAGTTTTGAATTAAAAACTTCGGTTGGGTACACCATAGTTTCTACGAGATATATGAACATAATCAGCAATACTAATGGCTTTAGCTAAAACTCTGCTGCAAGGACTGTGCTGCAGATGCTGATCAACAGTATATTTATATATTGTTTTTACCTCTGCATATTACATACATTCTAATATTATAGCTCTGAATGTTCATATTCAATGGTCATGCACATAAAAGTAACCTGACAATCGATTTTCTATAAAGAGCGGCTATTATATGGCCTATAACAAATCCAAAGCACAATTTGTTTAATGACCCAAACAATCAGACCAACGCAGTTGCTCACCGTGCACCTAATTGTGTCTGAGTGTGTGCGTGAGTGTGTTGTCTGTGCTTGTGTCTGTGTCAGTGTGCGTGCGTGTGTGTTTGCCTGTATTAGCAACTCTAATTGCCTGATAAGGCATCAGCCATTGCCATGGACATTGGCCAAGTCAATGGCATTTGCATGTCGTCATTTCTATTTCTCTGCTTCAGCTCTGCTGCTGCCTCAGTTCTGCTGCTGGCTCAGCTCTGCCTCTGCCTCTGCTGCTGCTCAAAGGGCTTTGCCTCGTGGCATTGAAATTTGTGTTGCCTACTTTTGAGCGTAGAGAATTAAAGCAATTTATCCATGTCAGCTTTATCCGTTTATCCATCATTATCCGCAGTGTGCAATCAATTATCCATTGACATAATTCAATCTAGATTCAGTTTTTAAAGAGCATGTCGTTTCTTTTGATTACGTGTGTATAAATTAAGTCCGAATCACGCAATTCCACTGAATGACAAATAAAAAATGTAATTTTCTTTTTTTTTTATCTATTATCTGATAAATAAATTATGTTGTTAAAAATTGTTTAACTGTTGATGGCTTTGTTTGTTTATTAGACTATTGAGTAATAATTGATAACTATTAATTCATTTATTATTTGTTTGGACTGCAATCGAATTTTTACAGTTTTATATATTTATTGTATAATATTTTTATTGCACTTTATTGTTTTATAAACTGACTGAATAAAGCTGACTGAATAGTATTTTATTTTCATGTTTTTTTTTTCTTTTTGTTGTATAGAAAAAAAATCTTATAATGAAAACTATTTATTATTTAAAGGAGGGTCAAGCTTTTCCATTTGATTAATACAAATTTCTGCATAACTATATGGTATTTATTTAAAATAAAAACATTCAGATCTAGTTGGCCTCATGCTGAACTGCAGCTTTAAGTATTGTAGCTTAGGATATTTATCTTTGTAGAATTCAGGACTAACTTGATCTTAATATGTTTTAAGTAAATGGCTTCGACTTTTGAATTCTAGATTTATATTATATTATATATTATAATCTATAATTATAAACAACTAGCGAGAGGTGACCAAAAATTGTTATTTGATATTTGTGTATGTTTTTAAAGATTGTTCATCATATTGGTATTGTGTTTGTATATTTAATGTGAGTTATAATCAAACAGATAAAGTTCTATATAATCTTTTAGTAGATTGTAAAGAAACGACTATAAGGTGTCTTTAAGGCTCTAAGAAAATTCCATGTCTAATACGGTCATTCAAAATAGTACACAAAGATGGCGCAAAGATACGGCTAGGTCAACACGACTCTTTACGCTCATGAAGTTCATTAAGGGGAAAAATAAAAATTCCTTAAAGTCAATTATGCACGAGGTTGTAATTTTAATAAGCTGACGTGCTGGAAAGTCATATAAATTAATAAATATGATATATTTATATTCCATTTTACATTTCTATTTTTATAATTTCCCACTCCCAACCCAACTCTTAAGCTTTCTTTACTTACCGCAAATAGAACATTGAAGGCAAATAGAATATATTTGATTAAGCTGGGTCCACAGGCGCGCATTTTGATTCTCATTAAGAAGTCAAAGTCCAATAGAGTCGTTTAAAAATAGTTTCTCGTCTCTGGATATTCAAAAATTAGTAGACCTATGCAATGGGTAAGCTATGACCTTTAGTTGACTTTGATGGAACGCGCGCGTCTGCTCAAAGTGCCGTTACGATTGGAACTGACCAACTGCACGGCACGGCTACTGGCCAAGCTAACGATGTTGGCAACCAAGTCCGCCTTCTGTTGTGGCCACAATGGCTGACAACCGACGCGTCGGGAGCTGCTTGACTCCAAGCTCACATTGGTCATTACAGCAGGCAAAAGTGAGTGAAAGTATTTTCGAGAAAAAAGAAAAAAGCTGAACAAAACCGTATTCAGGCCAGGTGATTAGGCCGCCTCGCTATCGACCAGGAATCGGAGGAGGGAGCGTGCTCCGGGTTTTTATGCTTTGTAACCCATTTCATTGAATTACACACACACACACACACACACACACACACACACACACACACATACACGCACTCATACTGCTTTATAGTGCCGCCTCCGTGTTTGCGGCTCCTACAACTTTGACCAAAGTTTCCAGACGCTAGCGCAAGGCTTTCTGGGTCGCCTACGGCTTCCGCTAAGCGCTGGCCCAAGTGGGTAACAAGTCATTGCACTCATTAGGTGCGCAGAAAGTGCGAGTTGAATAGCTACTTACACCCAGGTGAGCGTATTTACCTTTAAAGTTCAACTACTTGACAGCCACAACTATTTGCATGGGTGGCTTATAATATTATCCATAAAATATAATTGAAATTACTATGGAAAAACGTGAACTATATTTGCACTTGGCTTAGTAATGAAGGTAAATATTTATTGGGGGAAATATTCAGATCAAGCTGAAAAGCCTCATGTTAAATTAAGTTAACTTGCGGATAATTTATTGACTTCATATTCAATTATTAACTATGAATTTTAATAATTTGGCAGGCAAATTGAAGATTTGCTAGCTTAACTTGAAGATAAATATATTATTTTGAGCTTCTAACTATTATATATGAAGATAAATAAATAGGTACTTGAAAAATATTTAACCTGAAGATACAATTAAATGAAAGTTATTATAAATTAAGAGCAGCTTGACTAAGGATTTTTTTCTTTGGCTCGCTTTGGTTACTTACCATAATGACAGACATTTAACTTGAAGATAAATATAGTATGTACTGAAACTTTAAAGGCGTTTTCGGAAATACAATAACAGTTACTTGGGAAAATTTAAACCAGCTGTAAGCTCTCATTCGGCACATCATTTCTACTCCCTATAGAATAAGTTTAAGGAATTCCTAGAAATAATCAACTTACATCTATCATATAGGCATATTAAGGTCAGCTAAATCAGCTCGGTCCGTTTTTTCTGGGTTTTCTTTACATATATATTATATTTAGGTCTATGAGTAAGTCTTCCAAATATAAATTGGCATGCATTGAGGCCGGCTAGTTTTTCAGAAAATTACTGTTTCTTTGAATAAAAAACAATTTTATAAGTAAATCCTATAAATCCTTTGAATACATGCATTGATTTAGGCCAGCTAATTCTTCTGGGAATTGCCACAAACGAAGCGTCTGGCTCTAAGTTTTAGCCAAGTAAACATATATCAGGCTATATAAATGGGTTTATTACTGAGGAATCGACCCACGTAGAAATGTGGACCGCCCGACGTCATAGGCCTAAATAATTGCGTGCTTCCATGTGAATAACGGTGAAAGTTATAAATGCTATTCAAGAAATAAATGCCAGACTGTGCGAATAATTAAAGAACTCTGGCAATTCAAGTTGGCACCTAGAGCTATGCCAAAAGTCTGTCATCAATTTGGGCACGGGGGAGGTCGCCACCTAGAAGGACTTTGGCTTGATTTAAATGTTGCGTGTTTGGCCCATTTGTGTTTGTATTTGTATTTGTATTTGTATTTGTATTTGTTTTATTCTAAAGGCGAAATCCAACTGTGAGTTACTTCACATTATCTGATCGGAGAAATCTCGACAACTCTCGCTGTGGTATTTGGGTTGATGGGAGTGCGATTCGGTTAGACTTTTGGATATATTGGGTATATAAGAAATAGTTAAGTTTATTATCGATGAAATCGTTGGGGCAATTTACAAGTTTATGCAATGGGAGTATTTCCTTGATTTGTATATAATAATATTTAAGTACAGTGCATGGCATACGATATGAGTGTGGATTAATTATTGTTCATAGTGTGTGCATAATAATATACTTGATCACAGTCCACATGCAATGATCAGAGCAACTACGACGGTCACAATGGACAGGGATTGACGCAGTGCATCCGCACCGCCGCCGCGGCAGGGCCATTCGTCCACATCCGACCTACAAGTAGAGTTAATGGTATTAGGATAGGAGTGCAGCTAGCTGGACGAGTGTGGAAAGTGGGCGGGGCTGCAGTACATAGAACATTGAACATTGAATGGAACCCTTATAGATAGTACGGATATGCGTATGGATAAGGATGGCGCAGTAGTGGGTAGATAACATGATCGTGAGGCTGATCGTGCGGCACATAAAATGTGGGCTGATTTGCAGTGTGGTGGGTGCGTTGACGAGTGCTGTGCAATGCTGATGCTTCAATGGATTCAGCTTGTTCGGGTAGTGGTTCAGATAGTGGTTCGGCCTGTTCATATGGTGCAAGCGTGCTGCAAAAACAAAAGCAGGCCCAGCGGAAAATGGAGTTGATTCAGGCACATGTATGCTATAGAGTGTGTGTTTGTGTGTGTGTGCGGGTGGATGAACTCAGTGTGGTTAAACAAACACAATTAGGTGAATTAGTTGGCTAATGAATAGCATGGCAATATAAATACGTTCTAATGATTTTAGTATCAAGGTGCACAAACTCCCACCTACCACTCGGACAACCTGACAATATACGTTTATTTAGGTTTACAATAATATTAATGACGACGCTGGAAAGCAAGTTACAAGTAAACAAATATAGCACTAAAGTGTCGATAGGGAGAGATAGTAAAATAAAACAGACCAGTCATTCAATGTGTTATATATATGAGCTTATTATATGTATGGATGTGTATGTATAACAAACATGAATGAAGGAAATGAGTAAGTGTGGCATAGTTAAACACACAGACATACATATGGAAAATATATGTAGGTATAACAGCTCTGCTTGAGTGAACGATTAGATTGACATAGTGTGAATGTATAACAGCTCTGCTTGAGTAAACGCTCATTGGCGCTGCATAAATGTATAACAAATATGGGCGCTTCCTACCTACGACAAGTTGGACACACGCACAATATATGCACATGCATCGAAATATGAATTATGAGAGTAAGAGTGAGAGAAAGAGTCCAAAAATAGACAGTCATTTAATACGGTATGTAAAAGCTTATTGGAAGTGTGTACTTACACACAAATGACAAATCTGAGTGAAATAGTATATGTATAAGTGAATAATAGATACAATGGTATTGGTGTTAGTTGAACTACGTGAATGTATAAGGAATTGTTTTTGAACGTATAACAGCTATGCTTGAGGAAACGCTTATATACACTGCATAAATGTGTAACAAATATTGCTTTAGGCCTAACTTAACGAAAAGCTGTCAAGAATACATACACGCATGAATTTATTGCGAGAGACAGAGAGAGAGAGAGACAGAAGGAAAGAGGTCAGAAAATAGCCAGTCACTCAATGCGCTATATAAAAGCTTATTAGAGATGTGTACATGTATAAAGTATAATATGAGTGAAAGAAATGAGAATGTGTATAAGTTTCCTTGAATATATAAAATAAATAATGAGATAGACACTCACTAGCAGAGTGTACAAATTTATAACAGCCATGCTAAGGCGCTGCATGAATGTATAACAAAAATTCTGTAGACTTACTAATGGCAGGCTCAACAGAGCGGACACAAGCATATGCGGAGAAGTACACGCGCCACACACTCACACATGCACATAACTATTGATATGGATAGCCAATAGGAGCCAGCCAATTCAAAGTGTTATAAGTATACGTGCTCAGTGGAAATATGTAAATGTATGACAAATATAACAATATGATTGCTTAGACGCTCACTAAGTATAACTTGTAACTTATATAAGAGAGTAAAGACAGTAAGTGATGAGTAGGCGTGCATAGTACAGTTACAGTTAGCAGTGAAAGAGACGCACACATTGTGAGAAAGTTATTTATTAGCTGACGCAAATGAGAAAAGTTATCTTTTTGTTGTTTCATAAAAAAGGACAGCAATTGAACTTGAAACTTGAACATTAACAGATATTTACTTAATGCCAATAACACCGCAGGCTGTAAAGAGAAAATCAGAAAAGGATATTTAATATGGGACTAGTTGCAAAGCTTTTGTTATACGCACCGATGCGGCCGCCAGCATTGCCCGTCTTCTTTGAGTCGGTGTGATTGCCCAGGCCCAGATCGTCCTCCATCTCGTGCAGGACAACGCTGCGTCCGATGATGGTACGCTTGCCGCTCAGGCTGATCACGGAGTCTGTGTAGGTGATGTCGATAGTCCGGCTGGCGTTCACCTCAATGTTGCCCAGATCGCCCACGTGACGCACCTCGTGATCGGGCGCACCGTGATCCACCTTGTCGGGATTGTAGTGCCCGCCCAGGCTGGCACAGCCATTGCTCAGATCTCCCTTCTCGTGTATGTGGAAGCCGTGCTTGCCCTCCATCACGTTCTCCAGCTGGATGCGCACATGCACACTCTGGCCGCAGTCATTCTGAATGAAGGTGACATTTCCTTTCACCTGCGTGTTGTCCGACTGCGGTGGGCCAGTCAAATGTGCAATCGCCTCCATAGGTTGATTGCGCTTTAAATAGAAACATATATTAAATACTTTGCATTTTAATATTATAATTCGTAGTTATACTTACAGTTTGTGCAGCGGCACAGATCGTGGCACAGAGAGCCAGTGTGACGGTGAGAAGGCGCAGCATCTTGAGCTGCAAAATAAAAGTGAGAAGAAGTCAGTATTCGCATATAATATATAGTTATAGCGTAAAAACATTCAAACAAATTCATTTTCATTTGTTTTCATTGCGTCAGAGCGCTACCTTGATCTATGTCCGTACTGCTCTCTGCCTAGCTGCCTGCCTACCTGTCTACCCGCTTCCCTTTCACTGTGCTATCACCTTCACTCAACACATTGATCGGTCGGGTTTTATCCAATTAAGAGACGAGCGCACTTTGATTATTTCCATACACGAGCTCACAAAACTATCCGGCTCATAGCTGAGGCTTACTAGCATTAGAGATGATCTATGTAACGCAGCACTGAGTGGAACTGCTTGCCACTATATTAATTTAGCTAGAATTGTGTGTTCTCTTGGGAATGCATTTAAGACTATAAATATTTTTGAATATTTTTATATGTATATTTAGTATAATTATTTTGTTATTGTATATGCATGCATATTTGTTTTA